CGGTGTCCCACCGGGCAGGGTGCTGTGTCCCCCCGGGCAGCCTGCCCCTGTCTCCCCGGCCATCTCCCTGGCAGGCTCCGAGATGATCGAGACGCAGGAGGACATCTACGTGGGCTCCATCGAGACGGACCGGGGGGTGCGCGAGCAGGTGCGCTTCTACGACACGCGGGGCCTGCGGGACGGCCTGGAGCTCCCCAAGCACTGCTTCTCCTGCACCGACGGCTACGTGTTGGTCTACAGCACTGACAGCAAGGAGTCCTTCAAGCGGGTGGAGCTCCTCAAGAAGGAGATTGACAAGTCCAAAGACAAGAAAGAGGTGAGCACCCCAGGAGAAAGGGGCTGCAGAGTGGGGTCTGCTCCCCTGCTCACCCAAAGACTCTCCTTTCCCCTGGCTTGTCACAAGTTGGTGACAGGGGTTCCTGTCCCACAAGGCTCTCGGCTGTAACTGGCTGATGTCCTGGGGCGCGTTCTGAGCGTGCAGGTGCTCAGCAGGCCCTTCCTCTTTGGGGCTGGTTTAAGAGACGCAGACCTGAACAGGCGGGGAAGCCGCCAGAAGGCAGCGCTGGGGAATGTGGGGTTTTAAAACGCCTGAGCCCAGAGGGGGAATCGGCTGCACGACTGGGCCTGGCGCTGAGGGTCTGCAAGGCAGAGCCGGGCACCACCGTTCCGCTCTGTGTTTGGTACCTTCAGGGATTCTTCTCGCCCTTTTCTGAACAGGTCACCATCGTGGTTTTGGGCAACAAGTGTGACCTGCAGGAGCAGCGCCGGGTGGACCACGATGCAGCCCAGCACTGGGCCAAGGGCGAGAAGGTGAAGCTGTGGGAGGTGTCCGTGGCTGACCGGCGTACGCTGATCGAGCCGTTCATCTACCTGGCCAGTAAGATGACCCAGCCACAAAGCAAGTCTGCTTTTCCCCTGAGTCGCAAGAACAAGGGCAGCGGATCCGTGGATGGCTGAGCCTTGTTTTCCCTTCCCTTGCCACGTCCTCTCCCTTGCTTCCCTGCTTCCCTTGCACATACCTCCTGCTGAGCCGGTTTGGTGGTGTGGAGCCTGCGGGAAGCACAGTGGCACGAGGAACGGGCATCCCAGGGCTGGGGATGGTCTTGGAGGGTGAGAGGTGAGCCATCTCCCTGCGCTGGGACAGGGACCGCTCTCTTTGCTGCCCAGCCCCTGCAGATGCTGGAGGTGCTGCAGGAGAGCCAGGATTCACCGGGTGACGGCGGCAGAGCCGAGGGCCGTGGGCTGCGGAGGGGAGGCACAGCTTGGAGCTGCGCAGCAGTGGGGATCAGCTCCCCGGCTGAGCACAGCCGGGCCGGAGGAGACAACTCCCTCTCCGGCTTTGTTTTTACGGACCCCGTGTGGTGCGAGCCCATCTGCGGCGGAGCAGCTCTCCCTTGCCCTACCCCAGCTGGTCCGCGGTGCTGCCGTGTTCCCCGGCCGATCGCCCCTGACCTGGCAGCGCCCACTGCGCCTTCACGTGCAGAAAGACCCAGTCATCCTGCCCCGGGGAACGCACGGTGCAGAGCAGGGCACGATGCTGTTACTGAGCGCAGGGTGCCCACATCCA